TTCTCTTTCTTTCTTTAGGCTGCATTTTTCCCGCCCTTTTCTGCATGGCATCTCCCCTCCCCCAGCCCAAGCTATGTCTTAGACAGATTTTTTTTTTTTTTATAAACCTGTAGAAATTTTAACTTTACGTTGCTACTTACTACATTTAAACAAACATGATCCAACACAGCAAGAGATATTTCCACGCCAGCCTCATGTTTAAACAGAAGCCTTTAAGAAAAAAAAAAAGCTGTCTTCATGTGCCCCAAAAAATCAGAATACCAAATCTATAGAGATTTTGCTCATGTCCTGTACGTTATATTAACTTTACTCAGGATCAAATGTAATGATACCATCAATTTAATCTGTATTACGTTATCATAGTTATTGTTTTTGCTTTGCTTTTTGAGGTAGTCTGACTATACAGGACGGGCTTCATTCCTTTTGCCTCAGCTTCAGAAGTCCGCAGGATCACAGGCTTCGACCACTGCGCCCAGCAGTAATATTCCTTCTTAAATGTATCAAAACTCACCTCAAACAATGAGTTCTGGGTTGCAAAAGAGGATTTATTTTTTGCAATTGTCTTGTTTTGTAGTTCACAAGAAAAAAAAAAAAAACAAGTGCCAGAGTTGTTTTTAAGGAATTGTAATCCAGAAGATCGCATTCAAATTTTGTCCAGGCTTTAATTAGACCAGAATGAGAAAAACTGACAGCTTCTGTTGTGTGTGCAAAGGAAGTTGTGTGACCTTGCAGAGGGCTGAGCCTGACTTCCCAGGGCTTTCCCCAAGTTAGACACACACTTCTTGCACCATTGTGAGGAATGAATCCTTTGTTATTGCCCCCTGTCCCGGGAGTTTCCTCAGGAAAGGCCAATCCTCATTTCCTTCTTCTTTTCTTTTCTTTTTTTCTTTTTCTTTTTTTTTTTTGCTGAACTGGGGATTGAACTAAAGCCCTTGCGCTTGTCAGGGAAGTGCTTATTCCACTGAGCCATCTCCCTGCCCCCCCATCCTCATTTTCAATCTCAGCATCTGTTGTGTAAACTGTGTTTGTTGCCAATGGCTTCCAGTGTGCAAAGTTCCTATATTGCAGGAGTTTCATTTTATTTATTTATTTATTTATTTATTTATTTATTTTCGGAACCTGGGATTGAACTCAGGCCCTTGCACTTGCCAGGCAAGCGCTTATTCCACTGAGCCATCTCCCCAGCCCCAGGAGTTTTATTTTAGTTGTTTTTTTTTTTTTCTTTTCTGGTGCTATGGATCTAACCCAGGCCCATGCTTATGCTAGGTAGTGCTCTATTACTGAGCTGCGGATTTAGCATCTCCCCTCCCCTTTTAATGTGGGTTATAATATTTACTGAATTAAAATTTACAGTGGAAAAGTTTTAAAATATTCCACCACTCTTCATCAAACATGACATAGCCTTTGTTAAACTCGACTTTACGTTTATGGAGAAGATGAGCATAAAAAATATTGCTCATAGAATGATGTTTAGTGGGGCTGGAGAGATGGCTCAGTGGTCTAAAGCACCTATTTGGAACAAGCTTGGAAAAGCCCAGGGAC